CCTGGATTTTCTACTCCTCCGTCTTGGTCCTCAACTTGGCCCATTGGTATCTTCTGTTAGTGTGAATCTTACTGTCTATATTTGTACATGTATAAAAACTATAACATTCATATATATGAAATTGGTGCAAACTAACATCCTAGTGGCTTCAAACAGCAATCAAATCTATACTTATGGTGGAAAACAATATCACCCAAATTATATTGGCTCTATGGAGATCTGAATCCTTTGCTATTTAGTGGATGTCCAAGTGAATTGGGTGTGAATTGTGATCTTAACCATTGAAGGCCTAGCTCTATTCTACTATGGTTTACTTCACAACTAAGTTTTCTTTAGGTGCATTGTTTAAGTGAATAAATTCGATTTCATTTTGGTTCTAACTTGAAGCGCATGATAGCAATAAAAGTTGCTCTTAACTAATATGATGCAGATCTTCACGGATGCTGGTCAATATGTGATCCGATTTGGTAGTGCTGACACCAGCTCCAATGCTGGTCCTGGTAGAGGGGTAATGTACCACATCAGTGTGCAAGAGTTTCTCATTTTTTATTTCCTGTATTAGCCCCCTAATTTTGCTGCATTCTTTTGTAGATTCAAGAGTTAGAAGTAATCCACCCTTTGACACTGTCAGAAAGAGCAGTAGCTGTTGCACTTGCTGTTTCACTGGATAATGATTATTTTTCAAGACACGGAGGCTGGTAAGCTAGTTTTTCACTATGATATATCATTCTCATTTCATTATATCAATTAACTGCTCGTTTGTATACAGTGAATAAAATTGTTTGGTAAAAAGTCAGTTTGGCTGTCTCTTGAAGCCTCCCACTGAGATTCTTCTAGGCTTCCAAGTTCCACAACCTTTTCCTCAAAAATGTTTCACTCGGAATGACGCCCAAATCCATTCCATCCGACAATCGCCTCATATGACACGATCCAGTTCACACATTTTACAATCCAATTCACACCTTTCATATCAATCCACCATGCACTTCTTTATTGCCCTCTATGGACTTCTCTCCTTCCTATCAATCCACCACCTTCCCTAGTTGCCCTCCTTTTTAGCCATAAAGACCTTGGCTAATTTCTCCATTCTTATGAAGTTAACCTCCTGAGTTCAAAAAATCCTTCCTTGCTTATGATTACCTCCTCTGTTGATGACCCCTTCCCTTTGCACCCAACTTTGTAGTTTCTGTCATCACTTGAGCAGTTGAGGTTTCTCCACCCATAGATTGCCAAACATCTCGCTGTTCCACTTTTTTCCGATCTTCTTCTAGCAGTTTTAGCTATCTTTGCCAGCACAAAACTGAGGTCCTGTTTAATTCCTTTTTTTCATCTCACTCAATAGTTGTTAAAGCCTCTGAGTGTTTAGGCAAGTGCATGTGCCAAAGCACTTTATTGTCCATCACACGAGGCCGTTGTCAGCTCCACACATAATTAGTTTGCATCTGTCACCCTCCCTTTTATTCAATTTGAGATGTTTGGTTGCTTGCAAAATGTTTTACATAGATTTCTTTGGGAAACAACATTTAGCTTGCAAATCCTGAAAATGACTAGGTGATTTATTCAAAATTGACATTTAACTTGCAAATCCTGAAAATCTTTACACATCACACGCCTAGCGCTTGTATATAGGGCTGTCAAAATTCGACACGACACGATTAACCGACACGAATTAAACGGGTTTAGGTGATAAACGGGTTGACACGCCAAACACGTTTAATAAATGGGTCGTGTTCGGGTGAGACCTGTCAAACCGTTTATCACACGTTTACCCGTTTAAATAAAATTAATATAATAATAAATTAATAATTATTTTAAAAAATTAACAAGAAAAAAAGAAGTAAAGAAATCAATAAAGAAAAAAAGAAGTAAAGTAATAGTTCAAAGACAAAGGAGAAGAGTTAGAGAGCACTTCAAAGGCAAAGGTAAACAAATGTCTTTTGTTTTTGTCCCACATTAGAAAATGAGGGGAGATGGGGAGGGTTGAGTTGCCTATAAAAGACAATGGCCTTTTGCTTTTATTTTTAAAACCTTCAAGTCTTATATTTCAAAAACAAAGGAGAGGAGTTGTAGAGCACTTCAAAGACAAAGACAAATCAATATCTTTTGTTTTTGTCCCACATTGGAAAATGAGTGGAGATGAGGAAGGTAAGTTGCCTATAATAGACAAGATCCTCTTGCTTTTTTATTTAAAGCCTTCAAGCCTTATTTTTATGAGATTTGATTTAAAATTCTTCTTTTTTGAGGTAAGTGCAATTAGTGGTAAAAAANAGGAAGGTAAGTTGCCTATAATAGACAAGATCCTCTTGCTTTTTTATTTAAAGCCTTCAAGTCTTATTTTTATGAGATTTGATTTAAAATTCTTCTTTTTTGAGGTAAGTGCAATTAGTGGTAAAAAAAAATGGAGTATTAAAATTTATTAATATAATTTTTTTAAAATTAAACAGGTTAAACGAGTCATGTCGTGTTACCCGTTTATTAAACGGGTCGTATTCATGTTGAGATTGTTTACCCATTTATTAAACGTGTCGTGTATGAGTTCATATGTTTTTCACCCGTTATCCGTTTAACCTGACACGTAACCGTTTAATCCGACACGATTGACACCCCTACTTATATATCTATGTATCTGTGCAAATCTGTACTCTGTTGAAATCATTCAATCTANTTGTTACCCGTTTATTAAACGGGTCGTATTCATGTTGAGATTGTTTACCCGTTTATTAAACGTGTCGTGTATGAGTTCATATGTTTTTCACCCGTTATCCGTTTAACCTGACACGTAACCGTTTAATCCGACACGATTGACACCCCTACTTATATATCTATGTATCTGTGCAAATCTGTACTCTGTTGAAATCATTCAATCTATCTAGCCGCAGTGTCACCGATACAAAGCTCTTTCAATTGAATTTCTATGGATGCTTATATCAATGCCTGCATTGCTTTTGCCAAGAATTATTTGTATTCCAGAGCTTCAACCTTGCATTAGAAAATGAGAAGGAAAATGAATTTTTTTTATGTAAAAACATGACGCAGAAAACTTAATTCGGGTCATGTGTCTAAACAAATGGAGTGTTTAAGATTCAATCATGTGTCTTCTTCATCTATTTCTTTCGTGGAAATTGTTTGATATACCCTCATTCTAATTAGTATATAAACAAAATTCAACAGCTAATGAAAAACTGCAGACTTCCTGAATTAGATATGTTCTATGCTTGATTCTTAATGCTTAAGGTATTGCCATGTGTTAGGAATATTTTATTGTAGGAAAGTTTAATTTTCACATTTTTTATTTTCCGACTTGTTTCTGTTGCATATTTTGATTGCTTTAGCTCCTAGTATATTTGACTTACCTGTCAATGAACCCCCCCCCCCAAAAAAAAAAAAAAAAAAAAAACCAAAAAATAGAAAAGAAAGAAAAAGAAAAAAAAAAAAAAAAAGCTCAAGGAGGCCTTGGCCTTGGCCCTTAGGGTCCCTTAATTAATTCTTAACTGTGATCATTTAATATATAGTTTGAAGCTCTCTCTCTAGTTTGTCTCTCTATTAGTTATTTGGTTGTGGCATTGTACTGATTCTACTAAAGGATATGGTAGAGAAAGAAGGAAGGGATGAACTGCTAGTTTGTTTTTTGAACGCTACTTTTTGTTCCAGGAAGTGATGGCTAATTTCACCTCAATGTTTTCCAGGGGAATTCCTTTCATTGCAGTGGGCGAATGACATGTTAAGTTGCAGTGCTGATGCCTCTCACCAGCCAAAGATGTGTAGAGAAGACGTGAGCCTGTGAAGTTTCCTGAAGATGTGCAGAGATCTTAATTTTACTGCACTTTCATCTGCGAAGTTTCATGAAGATGTGCAGAGATCTTAATTTTACTTCGCTTTCATCTGCTCCCCCATCTAAAATTATATTTGTAGCCACCGAGGTCATATGTTGCTTGGATTCTTACCATATGTTGCTTAGATTCTTACCAATGCACTTGAAGTTGTGGTTGATGGTCTTGCGATGCTATGACCATCATCATTGATGTTGTTGGATGTGTTGATTTGAGTTGTCAAGAGAATGCATCAAGATCAAAACCTAGATGTAATGCAAGCAGTTGAATCAACGTTATGGTTACTTAAATGGATTGCTTTGCTTGTGTTACTTTTGCATTTTTTGTGTGTTCAATAAGATACTGCAAAACGGCCAAAATGATCTCATTTTTAGTATGATTGGAGGCTTTGGAGCACAAATTAATACAAACAAGTTTGGCGGGGGAAGGTGAAGGAGAGAAAGTTGGAAATGGGATGAAAGCATCAAAGTAGTAAACCCACCCTAAGATGAGTGCTTTCCTTTCGGACTTCATTAGAGTCTCCGAGCTGCCATGGGTTCCAGCCTTATTTGATGGTCTTAAATGTAAGAGAAAAATTATCTATGTTTTATACAAGGTAATAGATCTAGTAATTCTATGGATAATCCGTGAATTTGATACAAAATTATCTATGTACTTCATTGTCCTCCCCAACCCAAAACAAAANCGTGTTACTTTTGCATTTTTTGTGTGTTCAATAAGATACTGCAGAACGGCCAAAATGATCTCATTTTTATTATGATTGGAGGCTTTGGAGCACAAATTAATACAAACAAGTTTGGCGGGGGAAGGTGATGGGGAGAGAGTTGGAAATGGGATGAAAGCATCAAAGTAGTAAACCCACCCTAAGATGAGTGCTCTCCTTTCGGACTTCATTAGAGTCTCCGAGCTGCCATGGGTTCCAGCCTTATTTGATGCTCTTAAATGTAATAGAAAAATTATCTATGTTTTATACAAGGTAATAGATCTAGTAATTCTATGGATAATCCTTGAATTTGATACAAAATTATCTATGTACTTCATTGTCCTCCCCAACCCAAAACAAAACAAAACAAAACAACCACACCCCCCGCCCCAGGCGCGGGTCTCTCTTCTAGCAAAAGCAGAGCAAACACAAACAACACAAGCAAGAAAGTGTGCTCATAAAAATTAAGAATATCTTAGAAACCACGGTGGTTACTAGTAATAATTCATGATAAAAATCAAAAGCCAATGCTATAAATCCTAGTAGTGCTTCCATGCCAAATTTGATCACATGCTGAAATCATTCTAAGATGTATTTTTGTTATTGCTTATAATAAAGAAATCAAAGAGAGAATGCATGCATGCATGCATTTCTTCTTCCGCAGATGATCAGAAAACCCACCCTGCATGAGCTCACCAACGAGGAATAGCATCTAGTAGTAGGAGTTTGTGGTGTACCAACTAGGATATTGGGTTGCATAGTTTGTCCTTGTTATGGGTGGGTAGTGTTGATGCATCCCATAATAGTATGAACGTTCAGGCAACGCCCCTCTGTACCTAGTAGTAGTACTGTAGGGTGGTTCTTCTATTCCACCATTATGATGATGATGATAAGCATATGATGATCCATTGTCAGCAGTGTAATAACATCGTCTATTGTTCATTACCGGATGTTTAAGCTTGACCCACACCAGCTCTGCGTGATTTCCTGATCTCGCTAACCCCCTCAGAAGGATGTTCGGATCCACCTCTCCTGAAACTTTTGCGGTTCCTTCTGCTGCATCTATGGTCACAGAATACACTCCTGGACGATATATATATATATATATATATATATATAATCGAAGCATCAAAAAGAAACAAAGTAAAACAAATACGACGGATGTGATATAGTAAAACAAAACAAATTAAGGAAGACATACCACAGATGGAACTTAGCAATTGGATCATCTTCATCTTGCAGGCCTCACAATTGACATTCACTTTCAGAAGACAATCCTACAAAGAAAGAATTAATCAAGGAAATTTGAATTTTTGAAAGCGATAAGAAGTGCCAAAACAGATACGAAAAGCGCAGAAAGATTTGCGAATAGAAAGTAAATACATATACTCATATACATACAAACAGAGAGGGAGAAGGGGGGGGGGGGATATTGAAATATCCTAGTCTAGGGTTACCACGTCTGCAATGGGCTCCATTGAAATCGCTTCCGCTGTTCAACACAATCAAAACGAAGTTGAAACAGACAAAATGGAGGTGTTGTGCAACTCTCTCCTCTGAGATGAAATGAAAGAGCTTGCGACAAGGCAAAGCTTTTGACAAAACGAAGGATGAATCGAATGCTCCCTCCCTAATTGGAGTTTTTTTTTTTTTTTTTATAGTAGTTACCCTAATAATAGTGTTATTGTAGAAAGAGTGAAACCGAATATGTTATTCGGGGTAAGTTTTCAATTATTTAAGATTTATGTATGGAGTTAAAGATACTCTTACCTTTATTTTTATATAGTAATTCAAATTTAAAATACCATCCTATGTAAAGACTAACTATTATTACCACCACTTTTTTTTATGTACATTTTTTGTTTTGGTCATTTTACCAACAAACCCAGCCACAATCTTCAATTCGATTGCATTCGTAGAAGAAAGGTGGATGCTATGTGGCTTGTGACTTGCTGGCCTGAAAACAAAATTCTCTTCAGTATTAGATTGATTCGATTTTCTCATTGCAAGATTATCTATTTGTATTTAGTGGTGAATTCATTCATTTCAATGCAGCGAGGTGGGGGGGGGGGGGGGGGGG